GCCTCTTGACTCCAACAGTTTCAGAATTCGAGGGGTTAATAGTTTCGTAAATTCTGTTTTATTATCCAATTATTCTGCAGAATTTTACCAAAACATCAGTTTCCATTTGTTCGTTTTTCAATTTGTGCTCGCTTGTGGTGACAGCAAATGAGCTACCAATAATATAATTCAGTTTTAGCTTGTCGATTATGAATCGCAAAGTGTTCTGCAATCCGTTTTGTTCATAGTACCTGAAGATGCTTGCAAAATTATGCAACAAATTTATCCTTCTGTTTTTTTTTCTGTTGAGAAGCGACATGTCGAGATTTAGTGAATGGTAAAAGAAAACTCAATCAGTTCCCGAAGAAAGAATGATCGCAAATCAAACATACAATAAGAGCCATTTGAAGGTAACACCCCAGCAGCATCTCAGTAATGTTATTCGCACTGGGTACTGTAGTGAGTGCTCGAACGGTCTTGCTATTGTTGGTATTGAACTTTTAAAAGTTTCATCATTTACGTTGGTGCAAATATTTGTCTGCAAGGCACTGAGATAGCTTGGCGAAAAAATGCGCGAGCTATCTCAAAAGTGGCGCTTTGATCTTACCGCTTCAAATTTAGCTTAATCTAAATGAAAGAACAATGAACAATACTCTTGCTCCAAACTAAATCAATTGCTGCGCGAGGGACAAACAACTTTCCCTGTAATTATGGAAAATTTCAACGCCTTTCAAAATTACTGTTATTTAGTTCAATAACTTTGCATCGTGTTTTTGTGCTTTGTTTTTTCTTTCTTTCTTCATTGAAAAGCATGACATATTTGCACGAGGATACGCAAGCGTATCGTGTTTGGTGAATTAATCTGTCATGTATCACTGTATCGCAACAACTTTCTTTTGGCGAATTAATAAATTTTAGATGTGCAAATTCTGAGGTGTGATATACACACTAATTTTCGTTTTAAACCAAAAGTTATGTTAAAACTGGACTCTAGAAAAAAAATGGTTCTTGCTTCGAAAATTTGTAAAACAAGGATAGGAAGTGGAGATGTAACGATGAAAAAAATTTTTGCTAATTTTGTTGCTGTCACCTACTGCAATACGAAGTCGACTTTTTGCTTTTCAGTACCGCTACCCAATATCAGATTGCTAAAATACCTTCGAAAACTGCCCGCAACAGCTGCCATAGAGCCACGGAAAACATCATTTGCATCGGATGTAGCCTTCTCGGTAAGCAGCAATTTGACATCTTGGATTGCCAACGTTACTTCATGAGTTGATTTTTTGCGCATAGTCACGAAATGCTCATTATGGTGTCTTATCTGCAACAATTTAAACTATCAACAAGCCAGTGGCCAACCAGAAAAGTACCACGTGACATCCTCAGCAGCAACACGTTGAATTTGTCACTGATATATGCTTGGATTTTTATGCGCAAAATATCTCTGGACATACTAAATATTCCTAAAGGTGTGTAGAATTAGGATGTTACAAGGAAAATGAGCACTCGAACAACCATGGATGTGGCCTTTGCCATGCTGCATTTCCATGAGGGTGCATTGTAGTGTGCGTTTATTTGTTTGTATAAATATATATGTTTATGTGTCGCGCCGAATGAAATCCTATATTTTCAAAGCTAATAACCCATATCTGTGGAAACTGACGCTGGCTGTGTGCGAATCCAAAAAGTGTTCACATTTTTCTTCGCTCTCGCGCATGAAAAGCACTGATTTGTTAGAACCTAATATTCCGCCGCACCGGTAGAATTCAGCACTATATTTTAATCTCTGCCCTGTAGCTACTTCGATTCCTGATCCGACGAAAAGGTGAAACGCAGCGCGATGACAGAGAGTCACAGAAAGCGACCGGCCCGTTAAAAGCTAACAATAGCTGACCACAAGATGAAGTAAAATCGTAGTGTCTTCAGTGCCCCTTATTTTTTTTTAAAATTTATCCAGATTTGCGTAAAATATATATGCGATACCTTGCTGTTGAAAATTCTTAGCATCAATAGGAACTGCTCAATTTTTGATTCAATTTTAATTGCCGATATGTTGATGCTGCCGCCTACTGCGATACAGAAGTGCGCTTTTGCCTCTTCTGCTACCCGCCTGAGAAAAAAAGAAACGATTATTTTTCGGAAAAAAAAGATGAAATAAAAGAAATTACAACAGTTTGGAAATCTGCTGCATCTCATAACAGCTTAAAAATGAATTCTAAAATAATAAGTTGTATAAATCTTAGTAGAGTAACCGATAGTTGTTCTAATAGCGCAGTTGGATCTCATCTTTTATAGTCTTTCCTTAACACAATATGGATTAAACTTAAAATCAGCAAATGCTCGCTGCCGGTAAAAATAATGTTCTTGTAAATATTTAAACAAAATGTCAAGGCTGGCTAGACATTGAAAAGGATATAAATGCAAGGCTGACATGTTCATTTTGTATTCTCGGATTAAATCCAGCAGTATTTGAATCCAGCTAGGCAGAGTATCCAAGGCCTCCACATCAGTTCTTACTGCCGACTGGTTGGAAGACGCTTGTGTTACGTCCGTTTCATCGCTTCGTGTTATAGTGGTTGGGACAGCCACGCAACTGATGCAAGAATTTACCAAAACGCTCAACAAAAATGTATCCGATGGTGTGAGAAATAATTCCAGACGTGGATAGAGCGTTGTCAAAGTTATTATCAAAAAAGCTCTGTAACACAGGCTTATTTAAGGGTGCAAAAAGCGGATGAACCAGTGAACTCTAACAGAAACGTAAGATCGCTCGTGTTATGTACTGTTATGTTCTGTGTGGTACGTCAGAGCACGGGACGTGAAGTCCACGCGTTATTAGCGAAGAACGATAAATAATTAGCAATGACAAAGCTGCTAGCAAGCGCGGTTCCTTTATATAGTATTCTTGCGCGCGCAGCAGTGCAGCATGTTTGAAACACAAAAGGCTACTGCATGATCGGCAAAATGGCGAGCTGTAGCATAATCGAAATGACACGATATACTGTCTATGAAAACCCCGTAAAATACTGCACTGAAGATGATATTCTTCGCGCTCTGATTGCTCGTTATTGGTGGTGGAGGACAGCACACAGTCAAAGATCTAATTTCAAAAAGCGAAAATGCGCAAATCTATTTAAAAAGGCCTAGAAGCCTTCAATTAAAATGAAGGATTTCGAGTCATTCAAAGATTTATTATAGGCAGCTCTCAAGAGCAGTTGCGCTCTGACATTCTTGACATTTGGAATATAATACTTCAAAGAATTCGCAACTGTACTTATCATTCGGTCAGCGAAAAAAAAGCTAAGCTGCTACTGAAACAAGGGTGGCTTGGTTTTATCACTTTGAATCAGTAGCCTGTCTACAGCCGTGATGTACTAGATCTATAATGTAGAATAAAGAAGGGATGAAATGAGACTAAGCTAACTTGGCAGCATGCATCTGACGCTCGTCCATGACCACATTATATTTGATAGCAGCATCGATGGTCATTGTGTCCATGAGAAAAAACAAATGAAGTCGCTGGACGTCTCCTTTTTCCTCGAAATCTGCTATGTACACCTATAAGCAGTCAATTGGAGTGAGGAAAACTCGGAATAACAGAAGGCATAATTACCTATACTCGTCAAATTTATGAGATGCTACACTGGCACCTTGATTAACTGGCACAATTTGAGTACTCGTTTTTGTAATGCCTTATAAAAATGCGAAATTTCGTGTACTGTCTGCAAAAATTAGCATAAAATTACCCTGTCAGAAGCAGGATTGCAGATGAACTGAGAATAGAAAATGTGGAGAAAGAAAAAATTTATAATCAGATGTAACGAAATGCAGCGGGATATCAGACTGGTGGACATTTTTGTTCCTCGAGACAAATTTCAGTAATAAGGCCGTTAATAAAAACCGAAGGCTTAAAATTTTCAAAGAAAGAAGGACCCATCGAATGTTGGACGCTTACTTTAAAGAAACTAAAAAAATGTGCAAAATTACTCAAACGAGGGAAAAGGCATGTGAACTGGATAACTTTTTTACCTATGTGTAAAAACCAGGACCTCCCAGACTATCACTGCGGGTATTCCATATCAGTATTGTTACTGGGACGCTCCCATACGTCTACGCAGAGCTAATTCTTCCGAACTCTAAACTAAGTACTAGAATCCTGAGCGGCACACCACCAGTTAGTATCCACCGTCTGTCCGATGTATATGTGTCACCTATTCAGTGAAACGGTACTCTATGCGCACTCATTTGATGAAGAGTATAGAAA